TTATGTTGAAGTATGCAGGGTCGTTTGGGGTGAAGACATGCCAGGGTGATTTTGTGTATGAAGACCTCGTCGACTCCTATCCCTCCGTCTCGTTATTTTTCTATCTTTATTTATATATTTTTCGATTTTTTTTTTCCAGATCTGAAGAACAGTAGTAACATGACTATAGTCATATTCGAATATGACTATAGTCATATTTAATGTATTTTTCGAATATGACTATTCAAGTTGACTTCTAATAACAAGATTCAAATTGTATTTTTTTGTGTGGATGTTGATGGAATTGTTTTCGTAAATAATAGGGAATCTTCGTTGTTTTATATGATTTGGTAAACATGACTATGCCATATAATCGGAAATTTTTAAGTTCAAAATGAAAAAATGCAACAATATAAAGAAAGAATATGACTACAGTTTATAATCACATATAGTCATATTCAAGTATAGTCATATTCGGCGTTGCAAACCTGTCGAGAAAAAAATTTCAATTTTTTGTTTCAAAATTTTTTTAAAAAAAAATTAAATAATATTTTTAATAAAAAATATTAAAAAAAATAAATAAATAAAAAATGGCTAAATAAAGTCCGAAAATAATATAAAATAAAAAATAAAAAAATAAAATCCGAAAATACCTTTTTTTTTATTTGGTAGCATTTTTTTAGAAATGTGGAAGCTGATTTATAGGAATTAAATTATTTTTATGGAAAGAGAAAAAAAAGGAATAATTGAGATAAATTATACTAATTAATCCTAATTAGCGGAATTTTGGTGCCTTATTAATAGGAATTTTGCAAATAGTGGTTAATTATTAAAATACGTAATGGGTATTGGGTAGGATAAGGGTAAGATTGTAAATAAATATTCTAGGGGGTTTTCACAAAGGAAGAATTATGGTATGAACATATCACCATTTTTTATCTATAGGAGGAGTGTATTGCTAATGACCCCTTCTATAATTTAATTTTTCATGAAACTAATATACGTTTATAAGTCCCAGCTGTATTAATTAATGGACATTTATATGTAGATATATAATAAAAACAAAATTGAGGTTTACATCCTCAAAACTCAAAAGGTTTAATCGGCCCAATAAGCTCAACTGGAACTCGAAAGTAAATGAAATCATCATAATTGGGCTGAACCTCAACCCGATTAATTAATTATATTACTATTTATAAAAAAAAATTAATATATAATTAATTATTAATTATATATTTCTAATAGATTAATACATGGCTGGGTGGGACCCAGAATTAAACGACAAGATGCAGACATGAAACAAAAAGATTGACAAGATATGAAAAAGTGACGTAGTGATAGGGAGAGAGAGAGACGTTGAAATTCCTTACTTTTGTGGGAAAAAAACATTTATTTCATCCTTATTTTTAGTGAAAATCTTCTTTTTCAATTTTTTTTTCTGTAATGATATTTACCAGTGAAAATTGTTAAGTCATAGAGTGATTTCAATATTTATTAATTTTTCCATATTTCAAAACTTTACATTCTTCTTAAACTCTCTTAATCAAAAAAAATATCTCGAAGCTAATTTTTAACTCTTACTACCATAAATTTGGGGTAAATTTTATATGTTTACAATTCTTGAATAATCTATATGTCGAATAAAAATGTTATTTCCATGTTGTTCAACACGGAACGCAAATTCATTTTCTCTCTCTCTCTCTCTTTTTTTCTTCATATCGTTTAACACGGAATGCGGAATCACGGATAGGGATTATGTGTTGATCAAAATGGAATAATCAATTTTGTTTTTTGAAAAGATGAAAATTTTACTTGAAAATCAGAATAGTCGTCTCGTCGTTCATTTGGTTTATTGTCGATTTCGAGTTGATAAAATTCAAAAAAAAAAAAAAAAACGCAACAATTTGCGAGGTTGAAAACGAGAGAGTTTGTTAGATTGTAGGAGTTTTTGAAATTATGTTGAAAATTACTCCGCAACCTATCAAAACCTCATTGCGTTAATCAAGCGGCAAACAATTTTCTCCAAATTAAATGAAATAAATCCCATCCTGAGGAAATATTTTGTCTTGATTAATTATTTTTATGCTACATTCGATGAAAACTACACCGTGTCATTAATCTACACACAAATGTAGATATGTGCGTTTATGTGTATATGAATGCAAATAATTTTGCAAATGTCACTAGTTCTGCAGTCCCAATGCAGTGGCCCCCACACTTGTCTCACTCAAGGTTGGAAGTTTAATTTGATTTTCTAAAGTATATGGTGTGGTCGCGTCACACTCGATCACTACCCCCAACTGTTATACTCTTCCCCGAAGCATCCGAACTTTGACAGCAAACAAGGTTATATTCATGACCCATTTCTTACACCTGAATTTTGAACAGTACACGTACGTACTGGTGCGTAATACGTTTTCTCTACCTCGGAAAACTCGAAAACGCCGACGTTTCGCTGCAATTTTTTTTTCATTAATTAATTTATTATTATCAAGGATTCTTGATCACTCACGCGCGCGCATGGTGATCAAGTCAACATCGCCAGTTTTTCTTCAGCTGCTAAAAGATAGGAAAAATATCAGAGGGGTTCATAATTTTGGGTTTCCTTATTATTGGGTGGAAAATAGGAAGAGAAATAATCTCTCTGTTATTAGGAAGTGTTGCACAATTGACGTCAATGGCGGCAGCGGCGGCGGTGGTGGTGGCTTGGTGGAGGCGATGAGGGTGGCGCAGCCGTACCATGTGATGCATAGGGGTAGTACATTTGTGGTGGTGCTGTCAAGTCAAATTGTTGATACTCCCCAATTATCCTCCATTCTTAAGGTATGTATGTATCATAAGTTTTTTCAGTTTTTTTTTATTCGAAATTAATTATAATTTTTTTTTTTTTATAAATTAAACTTGCAAACGGTATTTAATTTTGCTTCTATTAATATAATTTTCTTTTTAAACTATAATATAATAAAGGACAAACATTCTTGTTTAAGGAGTACTAATTTTAAGAAGAATTGAAGGTTACATTTGATTTTTGTGCTCTTATTAATAATTTTTAAATTAAATTCATTTTATTAGGAAAATTGAGAATTCCAATCAAGTCTATTTGTCCTACTCTTTTTCATAAAGAATAGTCACAAAAAGGACTTTAATTTTGTAGAAGAATAGACTTTACTCCTTTTTCCATGTAATTATTGATTTAGGTAAACGATTGTATTTTTTCTCGTGCGATGGATGGATTATGAATTTCAAAATTAAAACGAAATGACTGAGTTTTATATGCACAGCAATAAAAATTATAACAAAAATATATTATACTATTATAATAAAATTTGTTAGTGATATTTAAAGAAAAATATGTTGTTTTTATACTATAAAAGAAAGAGAGAGAGAGAGAGAGAGAGAGAGAGAGAGAGAGAGAGAGAGAGAGAGAGAGAGAGTATAAAGAAGAATAAAGTAAGAAAAGAGAATGGGATTTTGACTTTTTTGGCCTTCTATTGTATTATTATATTTTTATATATACGTTTTGTTTTAATGATAATTAATCCTAGGCAATTGGGAGTAAATGGATTTGTTTTCTTAAGAATATCTCAAGAATGAACTCACTTTCAAGGCAGGGATATTGACATATCTTTTTAAAACGATATCGAAGATAAAGAAAAACAATGAAAAGAGTAATTTACGAATTTGCCGTTAGAGTTTTTTTTAGAATAAAGTAACGTTAACTCTTTTTATATATAAGATCTACTGACTACATCTTTTCCTACATTACGTATGAAGTAGATATCTTAATAGCAAGGAGAATCAATAATGCATGATGTGGTTCATAATAATTGAATTCACTTCACTTCAATTTATCTTCCAAATTAGCTCGCGAAACATTTATGAATATTCGTTAATCTAACAAAGGGACCTCAACATGTGTCTCAAACACGCATTAGGGCGCTGTATCTTGGTCCACACAAAATTCCTACGACATACAAGTAAGTTTCAAGGGGCCAGGGAGCCATGGCGTGCAACATTTCTCGATTCCCTATTATTTTAAAAATATATAATATATATATATATATATATATATATATATATATATATATATATATATAAATCGTGTATAATCGTATTAATGGCCCCCTTGTAAATTTTTTTAATGCATTCGGCTCCTCGAATTTATAATTCTGGTTCCACTAGTGAGTCGGATAGTTCAAAGAAACATGCCATAATTAAGATAAATTAATTCTTACTTCTAATAATATGATGATTAAACTATTTGTAAACTAAGACTTATTTAATTGGGCCTACTTTTGTTATTTGGTAACTATTTTCACAATATAAATCAATAAATAATAGATTTCATAAAATTTGATAATTATAAGTTGGATTTATTATCTGACCTACAGGGGTGTCTCATGCCACTATTGTCACCTGCCCAAACTCTCATTTCAAATCTAAAATTATTATAAAAAAAAATGCAAGAAAAAGAAAAGGCGCACGTTAGCAAAAAAGAAAAGAAAAACCTATCAGTTGCCCCGCGCCATTCCGCCACCACCCACCCTCCCTACCACGGCCATCTACCCTCTAACTAACTAACTAACCACCACTAGACCTCCGGCATAAACTAGGGTTTCATTCGTGGTGTAATTTTATTTTTAATTTGCGGCCGACGACTCAATTTCGATGGCGGCGGCGGCCGCCGCTTCCCTGAGCCCTTGCACTCCGATCCAAAACCACCAGCGCCACATTCAATCAAAATTCATTCCTTGCTGCTCATTTTCGAGGTCGAATTTCAACAAAAATCGGTCGATTGGAAAGTTCGTCGGGATCCAATCCCTAAAAATCTCGCCTTTCGAGGGTAATAATCGCCCCGGAAACAAAATCAACGTGTTGGGGGAAACTGAGAACGCGGGAATCGAAGCGAGCAATGCCGTCAAAGACGAGCTCTTCGTGCGTTTCTTCCGCGAATCGTGGCCGTATTTTCTCGCCCACAGGGGCAGCACTTTCGTTATATTGATTTCTGCAGAGATTATCGATAGCCCTAATTTGGACCATATTCTTATGGCACGTGTTCTTTTTCCCTTCCCCCCTTTGCCTTTGTTATGATTATTCCAGCTGAATTGTCACTGTGTGTTATGTGTATGTGTGTCCATTTGCTCTAACATGAAACGAAAAAGACTGAATTTGGCAGCTGATCTAATATATGTAGAACATTTGTGCAGGATATATCTCTGCTTCATGGACTGGGAATCAAATTTGTTCTTGTACCCGGGACCCACGTTCAAATCGACCAGCTTTTGGCCGAAAGGAGTGAGAACAATAATTTATATTCTTTTGTGTTCGAATTCGATATATTTTTATCTGTTTTTTTTTTTTTTTTTTTTTTGCTTTAGTGTAAAATATACACGTGTTTCGTGTCTCAGAATGCGAACCCAAGTACGTGGGGAGCTACAGAATCACAGACGCCGATTCTCTAAGTGCAGCGATGAATGCTTCCGGAAGAATCCGGATCATGATCGAGGCGAAGCTATCTCCTGGACCTTCCTTAAGTGGCATTCGCCGCCATGGAGATAATAGTCGGTGGTACGATGGTGTCAGTGTTGCTAGTGGTAATTTTCTCGCAGTCAAGGTGAGAACAACAAAGTCATACGATGTAATATATATATTATTGTTAGAATCTAATTTTATTTTATTTTGTTCGTTTTTTTTTTGCAGAGAAGAGGGGTGGTAGAAGGAATTGATTACGCATCGACAGGCGAAGTGAAGAAAATAGACGTTTCTCGCATCCGTGAGAGGCTGGATCAAGATAGCATAGTGCTCTTAAGCAACCTCGGTTATTCTAGTTCCGGCGAAGTATTAAATTGCAAGTATGCTAATTGGCTTTTCATAGGTATTTTTGTGTCCGCTTGCATGATATGTTCGTGAAACTCAGATAAATTTCCGACTTACTCCCTCCCTTTCAAAATAAGTGTTACTCTAGCCATATATTGTTTTCCCATATTAAGTGTCACTTTAGCATTTCAAGAATATTTTTTTTAATACCAAATTTGCCCTTTATCATTGACCGTTCAAGCTCATTAATGTGTACGCCTAATTTATCTTTCTTCAAGGTTTGGAAAGGGAAATTTCGGGATTTTCCATTAAAAAAGGCTATTTATTAGGTTTCTTAATATGCATGTGTTTGAAATGGAGGGAGTATCTTATAGAGCCTCATTTGATTTGGGATCTACATGATTAATTAAATAATTCGACTCTGTTTGGATGTTTGGTAAACGCAATAATATTCCGGTCTGACCCGGAGATATTATTTTATCAATGGCCTATCTGGATTTATTAGGAGATTTTTTTTCAAGAATTTGTGCATCTATTTCGTTGTTCATTCATTAAATATTTCTTGATTTTTTTTCTTCTATTGTCACATTTTAGCACTTACGAAGTGGCCACAGCATGCGCACTAGCCCTCGGTGCAGAGAAACTCATATGCATAATAGACGGGCCGATTCTAGATGAATACGGAAGACTCATTCGATTCTTGACCCTTCAAGATGCTGACATGTTAATCCGAAAACGAGCCAAGCAGAGCGAGACAGCTGCTAATTATGTGAAAGCTGTTGCTCAAGAAGATCTCGCTTGTGCGATATTCGACCCGAATGGGAAGGCTTTTCCTCGCGCCCCAAAATTTCAGAACGGTGTTGGATTTGATAATTGGAGCGGACTTTGGTCAACCGAACAAGGGTTTGCTATTGGTGGTCAAGAAAGGTTGGGCCGTTTGAATGGTTATCTGTCGGAACTAGCTGCTGCAGCTTTTGTTTGTAGTGTAAGTTTTACGTAATTTGGTGATTATTTCCGTTTCTTAATACCATTTTTTAATTAAAGTTTTTCTGATTAAAGGTTTCGACCCGGTAAGTTATTGGGAATACCAAACATAAAACAAAATCCGATGTATTAGTTAATAATTGCTAATCTCCCCAACCAAACGAGGCCTTTATGTTTTCGGTGAATTTTGCAAATACTAAGTATTATTTTTTTTTCCTTGTATTTTTTAGGGTGGTGTGCAAAGAGTGCATCTATTGGACGGCACTATGGGTGGAGTTTTACTCAAGGAATTGTTTCAAAGAGACGGAGTAGGCACTATGGTGGCTAGGTATTGCTTTCAAGGCCTCGTTTGGTTGGTTAGATTAGCCCATGATTAATTAAATAATTGGATCTTATTGGTTTTGGTTAACTAAATAACTTTTCAAACCGGCATCCCGGTTAATCTTCTCTTAGGAACCATTTTTTTCTCCCTATGTATAATTGTATTGATATATGGTGCAATTGTGTTGTGTGCCAGTGATCTTTACGAAGGCATAAGGATGGCGAGGGTCACAGATCTCGATGGCATTAAACGGCTTTTATTACCTTTAGAGGAGTCTGGTATTTTGATAAAGAGGACCGAGGAAGAGGTTTTTATTACACCCAATTTATATTTTAATTTCTTTTTTATTATTATTACATATTATTGTTCGTATATTTTTATCTGCATCAATTTTCATGCATTACACAGCTGCTTCAAGCATTGGATTCTTTCATAGTTGTAGAGAGAGAAGGTCATATTATAGCTTGTTCGGCTCTTTTCCCTTTCTTTAAAGACAAGTGCGGAGAGGTGGCTGCTATTGCCGTTTCTCCTGAATGCCGTGGCCAAGGACAGGGTGATAAATTACTTGGTAATAATCTTCTATTACATCCTTAAAAAAAAAAAAAAAAATTTAATATGGATTGATGATAACTCCGTTCGCGTTTTCTTGCAGATTACATTGAGAAGAAGGCATCTTTCCTTGGACTGCAAATGCTTTTCCTACTGACAACTCGTACTGCCGACTGGTATGTTTTTTTTTCTTCTTTTTTTTTTGTAGGATTTTCAGACAAGCTATGGAAACTAAAACCCTCGTCTCACGTGTTTCAATTTTGCGAAGGTTTGTAAGGCGTGGATTCACCGAGTGTTCGATTGAGTCAATTCCAGAGGAGAGGAGAAAGAGGATTAATATCTCTCGTAGATCCAAGTATTACATGAAGAGACTATTACCCGATGGTAGTGGTATTCGTTTAGACAATGCTTATGCCTGATATAGCATATTGTCATTTACCTGCATTTCTGTGGACTTGTATCTGTGGACTTGTAATATTGTTATAGTACGTTTTTCTTTTTCCGGTTTAAGTTTAGTCGCTTGTCGATTGAAAATATCGAAATAAAATCCATCTTTAGAACTACCATTTTAGATCTTTCATCTTATTATTTGAAATATTAAACGTTGTTTCAATTTTACTAATACAATTTTGGCTAAAAACTGTGATGGATACTTTGTTAGTCTGATTTGGCAAAATTCAAAGCACAGAACTGTAGTTGTTTGAATTAACTTTCTAATCTAATTGGAATAAGTTGAATTAGATGTTGGGTGACAAAATTATACGAGAATGAGTTGTTAACCCCCGAGGTAATGTCAAATTACGAAAAAAAATCCCCCACGTTTGAATATTACAACCAAACCCTCAATTATAAGTCTTCTTACACGTCCATTCTTATGGTGTCAAAATCAATAGAATGTTCTAAATTCTGCGAAATGTTCCAGGTGTAAATTTAAATACGATTGAATAAATAAACATATACAATATATTCGACAAAAAAATAGGATTCAATCAGCTAAAATTAAAACACTAAGTAATCCCTAAAATCAATCCTTAGGTTTTCAATCAAGGAGTTTCCCTTGACAAAAGCTGCTGAAACATATGCACCGTGAGCCGCCAATTCTGGAAAGGTATGGCGGGAATGAATCATCGTCGGCAGGTAATTGTTGGAATTGGGTACCCAATTTGGTAGTGAGATGGTTCCAATTGTTGGTAAAAGATTCGAAAGCATCGCCTTTTCTATCGAGATAGGGTTTGATCAAGTAGGAGAGTTCGAGAAGGTATTCGTAAACCGGCGAGTTGTAGTACCGATCCCACATCCAAGATGCGTACTCAATCACCTTCGTTATCAAACGGATATGTGCCAACTTTTTAATAAAACTTTTTATTCTATCTTAAAAAAAAAAAAAAAAACTTTCTTATTAAGAGGATTTTGTACATAAGTTCTCAACCAAACATCTTTATTAATCTAGGGGTTAATAGCATTTCGCCACCTGGACTTTGCCCGTTTTTGCACTTTGCCACCTTAACTAAAAAAAGTTGCAAGGGCACACCCAAACTTACATTTTTTATGCACATAACCACCTACGGGGAATATTCCGGCGAATCTTTTCATTTTCCGGTGCCACACGCGATGCACATGCTTAATGAAAGGGATTTTTGGTCATTTCATCTCAAAAAATTTATGGGCCCTCTTTTTACTCTTTCTTCTCCTTCTCTCTCTGTTTTCTCTTTCTCGCACACCCACGCACATAACAGACATTCTTCCCCATCATCATCTTCTTCTTCTCTTCTTTCTTTGTGCTTTTCTCATCAAGAATCAATCTTTTTCCCAAAAGAAACTCCGTGTTTGAGCAATGGTGTGATCAGAACTGTGAAAGTATAAATCGTAGGTCTGATTTCACTTTTTTCCATTTCTTCAATCATGTACAAAGCCTCATCTACCTTGACAAGCACAAATTGATGTCTATTTTTCAGTATTTGTAAGTAAAAGAATAAATATATGGATATAGAGAACTCGTATTGTAGTACATATCATAAATTATACAAAAGATGGAAATTAAACATGCGGAAAGAACCATAAGGTACACAACATAAAGCATATGGTACAACTTGAGGCGGCTTTTAAGGAAGGCCTGATACTCCTCAGAATCTACAGGAATATTCGGGGGTGGGCCCATCGCCGCCGCAATCTGTCGTTGCGGATTCATCGTTACGGTAGGAGTTGGCTTCGATCTCAACGACGTCGTTGCGTTGTACGGTGGTGCTGTTGTGATAAGGGGAGGCAGCCTCCTACATGAACCAGTGGAATGCCCACTCCGATGAGCTGCGGTTCATCCCCGTCATTCTAAACGAGGTTGCGGCAACGGCGGCCGACGAAGATTGATTCTTGAGAAAATAACAAAGAGAAGAAGAAAATCAAGATGGGGAATGTCTGTACTGTATGTGCGTGGGAGTAGTGTGAGAATGAGAGAGCGAAAGAGAGAAGGAGAAGATAATAAAAAAGCTGGCCCCCCAAGATTTTGAGTTGAAATGACCAAAAAACCCTTCCATTTAAGCATGTGCATTGCACGTGCGCTGAAAAAAGAGAAGATTCGCCGGAATATTCCCCGTAGTTGGTTATGTGCGTCAAAAATGTAAGTTTGGGTGTGCCCTTGCAACTTTTTCTAGTTAAGGTGGCAAAGTGCAAAAACGGGCAAAGTCTAGGTGGCGAAATGCTATTAACCCTTAATCTAGGTTTATGGGCTATATCTTTTTCACCAATAAACCCATCCCTTTAATATTTATTATAAATAAAGAAAACATTCATGTATATGCCAATATTACCCCCAACCATTTATACCCAATTCTTAATTGTAACCCCAATTTAATCAATTTTGTCCACAAAAATCCAATTTTGACCACAAAAATTCAATTTTGACTTTTTTTTTTCAAATTTTTTTCTATTTTGCCGCCCGATTCCGGCGTTGACTTTTCGATTTTTTTTTTCCGGATTTTTCGCTGGTATCCGGCGGTCAACGCCGGTGTCCAGACTTGACTTTTTTTTTTTTTCTTCCGGATTTTTTCGTCGGTTTCCGGCGTTGACTTTTTTTAATGTTTTTTTTAAGTTTTTTTATTTTTTTATTTGTTTTTTGTTTTGGTTGTCTTTTTTTTACGTCCGCCGCTAAACGTTGACGTAATTGTGCTGTCACTGATAGTAAATTAACGTAATTATACTGTCAATGACAGTTAATTAACGTAATTGTACTGCCGTTGACAATACATTTATGTAATTGTTCTGCCGTTGACAGAAAATTAACGTAATATTATTATTTTTTATTTTTTGATATTATTTTTTTTTTGATTTGTTGACAAGTCAACGTAATTATATTACTGTCGTTAACAGTAAAATAACTGTAAACACAATAATATTACTGTCAACAACATCAATATTATTATTTTTGTTTTGTTTTTTGTTTTGTTTGAGTTATTCACGAAGTAACGTAATAATATTACTGTCTATTATTGTATTATTACTGTAAACACAATAATATTACTGTGGTTGACGGTAATATTACAGTTGTTATAATAATATTGTTGTCAACCACATCAATATTATTATTTTGTATGGACTTTTTTGTTTGTTTGAGTTATTCACGGAGTAACGTAATAATATTACTGTCTATTATTGTAATATTACTGTGGTTGACGGTAATATTACCATCACTCACAGTAATATTAATTCTTTTGGCTTTTTATTATGTTTACATTTGTTGAACGATCAACATAGTAATGTTACTCTATTACACAATAATAATGAGTTTTGTTGTGTTAATATTAATGTGCTAGAGATTAATATAGCAATATTACTGTGTTAAACTGTAGTTTAGTTAATTTTACTGTGTTTAACAGTAATATAGTTAATATTACTGTCAATCACAACAATATTGCTATTTAAACGAAAAAAAATGTTACAGAAAGAAGAAGAAAAAAATCGAAAAAGTCAACGCGGGAGACCAGCGAAACCGGCGAAAAAATCCGAAAGGAAAAAAAAAAGGTCAACGCCGGAATCTGGCGGCAAAAATATTTTTTTGAAAAAAAAAAGTTTTGGGTCAAAATTGAATAATTTGTGAAATTTCGAGTCAAATTGAAGTTAAATTAAGTTATGAAATTGGAGCATATTAAAGTATGAGGGCCTATTTTAATCTCTTACAAAAATCTGGACCATGTGTGGACTATTGATAAATAAGTTTTTTTATCTGAATCTCTTTATGAATAAGTACCCATTAATGGACTTATTTGTAATGACCCTTTTTATTAATTACAACTTGCAGTTTCTTAGTTTTTCTTTTATCATAATACATAACAATCAATTAATAATTATTTAACACCACGCTAAATTAATAGATTTTGCTAAATATTTATTATTATTATTTTTTTGTAGAGATTAGTTTAAAAAATGCCCTTAATGATATTCAAAATGTTTCCTCTATTTTGTCCAATTTTAAAATCATACATAGACGTTTAACATAAACTTCACATGTGTGTTGCATGCATGTCAGTTTCAAAATGAGAAATAATAATATGCAACAGACTAAGTTATATTCTGTGGAATATTCACAAATGGATTGCTAATGAACAAGTGTCTTGGATAATGTGTATGAAGTCATTAACAGACAAAACTGCTTTGAAGAAGTGTATCTTGATATGTTGGGCGATTTGGTCTTCAAGAAACACAAACACATTTGAAGGAGAAGCGAATGAAGCACCGGAAGTTATCCCCTTTGTGGAAAACTATGGGAACATGTTACGAAGTTCCGCGATGTGCTCCAAGACAATATTGAAGTGAGAAATCTGGAATCTAGTCGGTTCCCACCGGACGTGAATGTGGTCAAGGTAATTTTTTATGTGGCAATCAATGAACCTAATGGGACTGTTGGAATTGAGGCTATTGGTCGATCACATACAAGGGAGTGTTTGTATTGATTTCGGTTTGTCTTTGGCAAACTCTCGATCCCACATTTGCGGAAGCAAAAACGGCATATTTGTGGAATTGGATAAGAATAACAACTGGAGTAAAGTTGTCATGGAAGGCGATTCCAGCGTGATTATAGAAGCGATTTCGAGTCTCAAAGACGATAGATCGAATTTTGGGGCAGTTTTAGCGATATTCACGGTGTAGCGGAATTCTTTAAAACTTTTTCGGCACGACACATCAGAAGGCAGAAGAATACTATTGCACACGAAGTGGTTTGACTTTCTTTAGAGGGTCGATGTATTTTAACGAATTTACCTCATTTGATTCAAAATATTGTACTGATGAAGGTCCTTCCTTAACAAAAGATTTACGTTCGTCCTAAAAAAATAAAAATAAAAATTAAATATATATCGTTATCTTATACAGACTATATTAATATATATAATTTAAATTCAAAAAAAGAAAAGATATATTCTCTGGTCATGGTAATGTAAAATTTATAATATCAAATGATTTAATCTACAACAACTTTTTAATACACATCCAAATTTATGAATTAAAATAAAAAAAATCCATAACAACACCAATCATGCAATTATAATAACTGACATTTAAAATTTTAAAATAAAT